CGCTGGCGTGCGCTGGCAGCAGTGCACAGGGCCCGGCAGACAGGTAGGGTTTCACATAGGACCGACCGTTTTCAAAATTTACTCGACCGATTAAAATAAAATTTTAACACATCGAAATAGACTTAGAAAGGCACAGAATCACAAGGTTTTCAGACTCAAACCTTCAATTTAACACAATCAACTAATTTTTACAAAAATACGATTAAAATCTGAACTTTCTAGTTCACCGAGCAATCCTTTGAATTTATCAATGAAATTTGGACACAACATACATTTCATCAAATCACTGACCCTCACCAAAATTTACAGAAAAATACCAAGTACTCGATTTTTAATGATTTTCTCAAGTTTCTGATCAGAATTTCAAATCGGCAATTAACATAGCTACAGACCTTATTTTAACTTGAAATTTTTACACGACCTATAACATCATCAGATGGTTATACAGGTCAAATTTCGCAGCAATCGGACGAGTATAAAAATTTAAATGATTTTTCGAAGATCCAGCAACACAATACGATTCAAAAATGCACAACAATTAAATCAATCAATAATTTCGTCTAAGGCCTTCATCATCAGGCCAAAAACTTCAAGTGTTCCATAGATCCACAGCAATTAACACGATTTAACACAAAATCACAATCGAATGACATAAACAAATAAAGTGCGAATAAAATCGATCATAAAGCAAGCAATAACATGAGATCTCCCAACAAGGCATCATCTCAAAGCATATATATACTAAAATAATATGGAGTAACAGCCTTGTACCGTTCTCGGGATCAATCACACGAGAGAGGGGTAAAGAGGCCGTGGGGATCGCGGGCGTGCGGGGGAAACGGCCTGCGGGATGCTGGCGGCTTCGCGGGCGCTGGGGGTGTCTCGGGCGCGACTGCTGGGTCTCGGTGGCGTCGGGGAGATGCGAACTGAGGCCTGGGGAGGTGCTCCTACGGCCTGGACGTGCGACGATGGGCCTGACGAGGCACGGCAGCCGGGTGGTGGCGAAGGGCTGGGCGCGGCGATAAAAAAAATATAACGAGAGAGAGGGAGAGGCCGAGAGAGATCGGGAGAATGAGGGAGAGTGAGGGAGTGGCGGCTGAAAAATAAGGGTGAGGGGAGGGATGATCATCTCCCTTATATAGGGCTAGGGCTTGTGACTTACCATACAAGTCACTTGCCCTAATTAACACCACCACACAAAAGGAAGGAGGGCGGGGTGCGCACGTGATACGGAAGTGGTCATCAACCCCGGCGAGTCCGATGAGGAGGGTGACGATGGTCTCGATATTTGGTTGGAAAACATGTTGGAGGAGCCATCTAGTCCGATTTATCGACCATCATGCAAGAGGGACTGGCCGAAAGGATGTGGTCCACGGGCTAAGTTGAAGAACAAGAAGCGCAAGACCAAACGAGCCCGAAAGAAACGCAAGGCAAAGGACAAAGAATCCTACTGTTGGTGTAAACCTTGCACAAGGAAGAGACGAGCACGAAAGAAAGAGGCTATAAGGCGTGGGTTGCGATGGGTTGACAAAGGATGGTGGATACCGGCCGAGGATTGTGCTAGGTTGGATGGTTGGGATCCATGGCCCGAACCAACGGTGGCTATCGCCGACGAAGAGGGCGACGGCGATCGGCTCATGGGCGAATGGCGCGCATCGGCCCATGATGCGCGCGGGTGGACGGAACAGGACGATCTGCGCGGGAATTCAGTTGGCGGGCGAGTCGCGGACGTCGACTGGGACGCGTTGGCGTTCGGGGGC